TCTATTGAAATTTACTGTACCTGGACTTAAAGCAGAAATCTTTAACGTTTTAATTTCTTTATTCTCTTTAAAATAACAATAATAAATGTATATGTTGACAAATATTTTTCCAAAAAATTCAGCGATAGAAGTGTCATTGTTTTACATTTTTTGCAAGTATTGTTAATGTCTGGCTTAATAAAAGACAGCTGGGGGAATTCCCTGGTGGTCCAGTGGTTAGGACTCTGTGCCTCCACTGCCGGGGGTCCGGGTTTGGTCCCTGGTCTGGGAACTAAGATCCCACAAGCTGCTTGACAAGGCCCCCCCCCAAAAAAAGATAGACAGCTGGATTCTCATATCTGCTTCTGTCAGGTGTGACATCACATGTCAGGAAGCCTCTAGGAAATGCCATAGCACCCTCATGAGGGCACGAGAGTGAAAAAGGCTTCAATGACTCCCTCAAAGAGTTTGGGGGATTCCCAGATGTCCCCAAACGATTATACATTCTGAAAACTGCCACTCTAGCTATTGCAGTTAGTAGGAATATAAGCCAGGCCTTGGAAAATGTAAATTATTTTTTTCTTCTTAAATGTAAACAATCTTGGGACTTCCCTGGTGGCACAGTGCTAAAGAATCCGCCTGCCAATGCGGGGGACACGGGTTCGAGACCTGGTCCAGGAAGATCCCTTAGTTGTGCCACGGAGCAACTAAGTCCGTGCACAACTACTGAGCCTGCGCTCTAGAGCCCGCGAGCCACAACTACTGAGCCTGCGCACCTAGAGCCCGCGCTCTGCAACAAGAGAAGCCACCGCAATGAGAAGACCGTGCGCCTCAATGAAGAGTAGCCCCGCTCGCCACAACTAGAGAAGGTCCACGTGCAGCAACGAAGACCCAATGCAGCCAAAAATAAAATAGATAACATGCCAGGTCCTAGGCAAGGCACTCTGCATGCATTATCTCTTTTCGTCTTTATTCTGACCTGTGAGATGTTAGAAAATATATATACTGGTCTCTGTCTGTGGCTCCTGGCACAGAGCTCCTAAAACTACTGACATCTCCTAAGTGATAAGAGTACTAGGAGTATCTTTCCTTCTAACATATGGTCTTTAACCCGGTTCCTAAATCCCTTGGAATTTCCTGGGTGACAGCTGTGTCTTTTGTTTTAGTCAGGCGACTCTGGGTGGGCTCCTGCATGGGGGCTGGTCCCCAGCAAGATCAAACCATGATTAGAAGCTTGGAATTCTCAGCACCACCCTCCCTTCTCCAGAGACGGAAGAGGGGCTGGAAATGGGCTGATGATCAATCATGCCTATGTGATGAAGCCGCCATAAAAATCCCCAAAGGACGGGGTTCTGAGAGCTTCCAGGTTGGTGAACACATGATGGTGCTGGCAGAAGGGCACACCTGGAGAGGGCATGGAAGCCACATAGCTTGCCCTATGCATCTCTTCCATCTGGATGTTCATCTGTATCCTTTATTATATCTTTTTATAATATACTGGTAAACGGTAAGTGAACTGTTTTCCTGAGTCCTCTGAGCTGCTGTAGCAAATTAATTGATTCTGAGGAAGGAAAGGGTCGTGTATAGCTCATCAGTCAGGAGGACAGGTGAAAACCTGGACTTGTGATTGGCATCTGAAGTGGAGTGGGAACAGTCTTGTAGGACTGAGCCCTTAACCTGTGGGATTTGATGCTATCTTCAGGCAGACAGTATCAGAACTGAGTTAAATTGTAAGACACACACAGCTGGTGTCACAGAGAATTACTTGGTGTGGGAAAAAACCCACACACCTCTGGTATCAGAAGTGTTCTGAGTGTGGCAGTAGTGTGAGACTAAAGGAGAACACAAGAGGAAAACTGAGGGGTTTTTTTGCACAACCCCAAAGGACAGATGATATTATTATCCCTAATTTACTGATGAGGAAAACGAGACCTGGAGAAGGGCAGTAACGGGCCTCAAATTGCAGGGTAAGTAAATTGAGAAATCAGGAATCTAACCCAGACTTCATGCTTTTAATTGTTTGATCTTTCTAAATAGTAAGTAGCTCATTTCAAGCTCATGTATAATTTCGAAGCAAAATTTCTCATTTTGTTACCGAACCAAACTTGGGTCCACTTGCCTGCACGCAGTAAAGCCAAGACACTGGTTGTGATGAAGGAAAGTGAAGTGTTTGTTGCAGGGCATCAAGCAAGGAGTCCAGGGCAGCTAATGCTTAAAAGACTGGCACTCCCCAGTGCTTTCAGGGAAAGGTTTTTAAAGGCAAGGTGAGGGAGGCGGTTGTGAGGTGTGTGATCAGCTCGTGGATATTCTTTTGTTTGGTTGGTGGTGACGTCATCGGGAGTCAACATCATCAACCTTCTGGTTCCAACCAGTCTGGGGTCTACAGGCTTGTGGGCATCCTACAGTTAATTTCTTCCACCTGGCGGGGGTTTCAGTATCTGCAAAACAGCTGAAAGGACATGGCTCAGAAGATTATCTGTAGCCCTTGAGGAGGAACTAAAGGTCCTTGACTTTGTTTAATGGCTAAACTATTATTATTTTGTCTTGCTTGACTGTTTTTCATTCTTTCTGCATTTTCTCACTCCTCTGATTAAATTTACTCTTTGGAACTCAGGGAAGGCCTAGGAGGCTACAGTTTTTCTATAGACAAGAGGCAGGCGGAGGACATGGGGGTCAGGGGAGTCTGTTCTGGGAAGGCCCCATGGGGTCCTGCTCAGTTACAATTTTATGCATTACATGTGCATTTTAAATTGTTTTAAGTTTTTGGAAATTCAGTTCAGAAGATTGCATGTTTATTGGGAACCCTACAATTTGAAGTTTTCTATTTTCCTGTGTATTCATTAGGGTTGCTCTGTAGCCTGGCTTTGGAAAGTTTTGCGTCTTTGGCTGCGTATTGGTTTTGGGGAAACCTGGTCTCAAACACCCTCTGAGCTTGGGAGGAGGGTTTCTGTCATTACTATTTTTTTTTTTTCCTGGCCGTGCCATGCAGCTTGCGGGATCTTAGTTCCCCGACCAGGGATCGAACCCATACCTCCTGCACTGGAAGTGCAGAATCTTAACCATTCGACCGCCAGGGAAGTCCCTGTCATGACTATCGTTCTACTCATTTGTAGTGGGTTGAATAGTGTCACTCAAAAATTCAGGTTATGGACCCTCGGGATGTGACCTTATTTGGAAATGGGGTCTTTGCAGACGTAATTAAGATAAGGCTTGAAATGAGATCATACTGGATTAGGGTGGGCCCTAAATCCAATGAGAGTGTCCTTACAAAAGACAGAAAAAGACACAGAGTAACATAGGGGAGAAGGCCATGGAAAGACAGAGACAGAGATTGAAGTTAGCTGCCACAGCCAAGGAGCCACCAGCACCAGGAAGGGACAAGGAAGGATTCTCTTTCAGAGTTCTGGAGTCCAGAACTGTGAGAGAAATTAATTTTCTGTTGTTCCAAGTCTCCCAGTTTGTGGTAATTTGTTACAGCAGCTCTAGGAAACTAATATACCATTCTTCAAGACCTGGCCCCAAACTGACCTCCTTTCTATGGCCTTCCCCCATCATTTAAGAAAGAAGTATTTCTCCCTTCTCTGAACTCCAAGAATACTTGCTGTCTGTGCCATTCCTGAGGGTTCAGCTTTTTATTTTGTGTATGTCAGCTTCTCCAGAAGGAAAGTTTCTTTTTTAATCCTTCCTTGAGTTTCTGCTTAGCTCCTAACTCAGTGATATTGGTGCAGGAAGAGTGGGGCGCGAGAGCATGGTCACGCCCCAGGTGTCAGGCGAGTGCCTGGGATGGCTGCCAGGTGAGGGCTCTTGGCTTCATACAGGAAGGAATTCAAGAGTGAGCCGAGGTAGAGTGAAAGCAGATTTATTCAAGGAGATACACACTCCATAGACGGAGTATGGGCCATCTCAGAAAGTGAGAGTGGCCCTGAGTTACGCGGTGGTTAGTTTTTATGGGCTGGGTAATTTCATAGGCTAATGAGTGGGAAGATTATTCCAACTATTTCAGGGAAGGGGCGGAGATTTCCAGGAATTGGGTCACTTCCCACTTTTTGGCCTTTTATGGTCAGCCTCAGAACTGTCATGGCGCCTGTGGGTGTGTCATTGAGCATGCTGATGTATCACAATGAGCATAAAAGAGGCTCAAGGTCTAATGGAAGTTGACTTGTCCACCATCTTGGACTGGTTGGTTCTAACCAGTTTATGTTGTGTCCTTAATGGCTCTGTCATTCTTTTAAATGTGCCCTGCCCCCTTCCTGTCTCAATATATAAAGTGTTTAATACATAACTGTTGAATATGGTTTTCCCAATTCTTTCTTTCCATTTAATGAATCCACATTTAATGAATCCATCCCAATTCTTTCCATTTAATGAATCCACTCAACAAACATTTATTGAGTGCCTACAATGTGTCAGGCATTATTTCTTACCTTTGGGATAAATCTCTGAACCAAAAAGACAAAATTCAGTCTTATGAAGCTTACTCTCTAACGAGAATGTAAGTTTATGTATTGAAATTCACATGGCCTAGCTGCATCTTTTAGACTAGTTTCTGTAGCTTTTCCTGTCCCTTTATTGTCCAGAGCCAGTTTCCAATGCTGGGACTATCCTGGCATCTTTTCAGATGTTCTGCTTGAGTGCCAAGGCCAGAGAGGAGTGGGGGGAAGTGATTTGAGGGGATCTCTGTTCTCACAGAATGGTTCTCTCACATAAGCCATCCTTGTGTCCTGAACTTCTCTCTGCCCATTGAAACATGTTTGTAAACTGTGTTGGAGCCAACTTCTGGAGATTTGATTTGTAAGTCTGGATGCAAGCGGAGAGAACAGGAAGGCACATGCAAGGCTGGGCACAGTGTTAGTCAGTGTTAGCTTTGGTCTAGTCCCAGACAGGTGGCTGGTGCCACTTTTGCCAGGACCATCATCTGTCCTCCATTGCTGCCAAAATAAGGAATTCCTGCCTTTCTAAGTGGGTACAAATGTTAGGCACCAGGACCACATATATGGGATAAGTAGGGTGTTTTTTGTTTTTTAAATCACAATTTGCCAAGAGCACCTTATTTTTTTCTTTTCAACATCCTGTTCTGCAGCCTCCTTGGCCCTTTTTGCCGGGATGCCAAAGAGCCAGGCGATGGCACGGGCCATGCGGAGCCTGGCGACCACCTTGAAGTTCTTTTCCTCCTCTGTCATGACTCTGGCTTTCTCCTTCTTGTAGACGTTTCGTAGGGGCATGACTGGTCCCGTCAGCTGGGTGGCCAACCCGAGCTCTTCAGCAGTGCAGTCTCCCTTCTTGGGGGCCGAGGGCTTCCTGGGGAAGAGGATGAACTTGGATCCTCCTTGTGCCGCTGCACGTTGGCCGGCAGGGACTCCGTGCGCTTGTTCTGCCGCCTTGGGTCCACTGAGATCCCAATGGTCCGGGCCACCTTCCTGTGGATGCCAGCCACCCTCAGCTCCTCCAGGCTGAAGCCCCTGCCGGCGCCCGCCTTGCTGTGGTACCTGACCGTGGGGCATCTCACCACCGGCTGGAGGAGGCCAGACGTGGGGCGCGGGGCGAGGAGGCGCGCCTTGGCCTGCTGGCCCTTGCGTCTGCGGATTTTGCCGGCCGGCTGGTTGAACCACGTGGCCACGCGCCCCTGACGGTCCTTGTGGGACTGGGGCTTCAGGATCATGCCATTCCGGCTGGGTGCCACGGCTGCGGCTGACTGGCCTCCTCCGAGGGCTCACGGCGGCGCAAAGACAGGGTGTTTTTTTTTTTTAATAAATTATTTTATTTTATTTATTTTTGGCTGCATTGGGTCTTTGTTCCTGCGAGTGGGCTTTCCCTAGTTGCGGGGAGCGGGGGCTACTCTTCGTTGCGGTGCGTGGGTTTCTCATTGCAGTGGCTTCTCTTGTTGCGGAGCACGGGCTCTAGGGCACACAGGCTTCAGTAGTTGTGGTGCACGGGCTTAGTTGCTCCGCGACATGTGGGATCTTCCCGGACCAGGGCTCGAACCCGTGTCCCCCGCATTGGCAGGCGGATTATTAACCACTGCACCACCGGGGAAGTCCCAGGCAGGGTGTATTTTTTGATAGGAAAAATATGTGGAACAAACAATGATGTTTGTTCTCTAGTCTCATCTTGATGTTTTGCTCCGAGTAAATTCTGACTGTTATGAGAGCCAGTCTCTCTGTAGCTAATTTGAAGGATGGGGATTGGTGATTGTAGAGCGATAACAGCATGTCAATCAACCTGTCCAACAGGCAAATACATGTTTAAAGAGTAATATTTAGTTATTTGAGCATGTGGTGAAATAGCACTCAGAAACTGTTATTGGGAGGAAGTAAGGTAAATTTATACAAACTTCCTAGTATGCATTTTGGGAACATGTTTCAAAAGCCTTGAAATGTTCATTGTCTTTAATCAAATAATTTTATTTTCAGGAATTTATCCTGAGGAAGTAATCTTATATTTGCACAAAGGCTTATTCAGAAAGATCTTTGCAGTGTTATTTACAATAATGAGAAACAACACAAATGTTCAACAACAGAATTGGTTAAATTAACAATGCTACATCTATGTGTTAGAATGTGAGCCATTAAAAATTATATTCAAAGATTGAAAAATGTTAATAATTTTACAGTTAAGTGAGGGTTGCATGCACATGAGGGTTAATTATGGTATTCTCTATACCTTGGATTACAATTGAAATTTGTGATAATAGAAACTAAAAACTCTTGTTCTCAAAGAATGTTTACATCTAATGGAAAATGCTTATAAGGTATTATTAAATGGAAAAGGCAATTTATCAAGCAGTACGTATTGATGTATGGTAGGATTCTGTAGGATTCTAGTTTTGTAAAAATAAAACTAACCTTTCTGTTCATTTTATATATTGAAAAAATATTTATGTAATGTTAACGGTGGCTGTCACTGGATGGTGCAAATATAGAAACTGTAGATTTTTCCTTTTATATTTCTTTATATTTTCAAACATCCATTTAATAAGCCTGTAATACTTTTATAATCAGCAAAAGTAATAATTCAGTATCAAAAGGGAGGAGAGACTTTTAAAAGAAGGGCAGAGAGTCCGACAGGTCTTAGTACTGGTTTGTAACTTACTGGCTACATGACCTGGGGCAAGTTTCTTTGCCTTCCTAAGCCTCAGTTTTATGTCTGTAATAAGAAAAAAATTTACGTACTTTATGGGGTTTAGTGAAGATTAAATAAAACGATGCAGATAAAGATTCTAACATGATATCTAATGGAGAGTGAGGCTCAGTAAATGTTATTTTCATAAAACCTAAGTTTGACTTCTGCTGTGGTCACAATAGCATAACTGGCAGCTGGTTAGCCTCCCTGAAATAAATATGTAACTAGAAAACTGGACAAAATATATAAAACAACAGTCTTCAGACTTTGAACAACAGGTACACAGAACTTTGATTCCTGAGAGAAATAAAACAAATTTGGTGAGCCCTCTAATTTCCCAGGCTTTCTGTAGTAGGGAGAGGAGTTGCAAGCAGAACATGGCAGCCTCACTGAAATGAGGAGACAGATATAGATCAGAGTTTGTGGCAGTTGAGGCAACTGGAATTTGTGGGGCAAGTTCCCAAACCAAAAGAAGGTTTACAGAAAAAGGGCTGTATAAGTGTTCATAGGATCCCCTTAAGTCTTTGGCCAAATATTAGACTGTATATGTGTAAGGTGAGACTCCATAAGCTGGGCACATAGAACTATTACCAGAGAAAGAAAAACTACCAAGCTTGCAAACTGAACAATAACTAGAGCTTGCAGAGGGTTGAGAGACATTCTACTTCCAATTAGCCAGAGTTCAGTAGGCTCCAGAAATGCCACACCTTAGGAGTAAGGCTAAAGTAGTCCTAAAATAAAGGATACTTTAGACCCTCCCAAGAAAAGCTTGAAAATAAACCTCAAAAGACCAAGCTGATCCCCAACTAAATTAACTGCTTACAAGAAAAAAGCTCAACTAGCACCTTCCAAGGGAAAACAACAAAAATCCAGACACTCAACAATATGATACTCACAATGTCCACAATCTGTTAAAAAGATTGCCAGACATGTGGGAAAACATGAAAATATGATCCTCAGCCAGGAAAAAAAGTCAGTAGAAACAGATACATAAATGACAGAAATGATGGAATTAGCAGACAAGGACTTTGAGAGAGTTATTGTAAATATGCTTAAGGATTTAAAGAAAAACTCAATGAACACAATGAGAAATGTGGAAAATTATAATGAAAGAACCAAATGTAACTTCTAGACCTAAAAATCAGAAATGCATAATTCACTGGATGGGCTTAGCAGATGATTGCACACAACAGAAGAAAAAAAAGGAGTTGAAGATATAGCCAAAAAAAAAAAAGTTTAAACTGAAGCTCGGAAAGAAAAAGAGAGAGAAAATACATACATACATACATATATACATACATAGAGCCCCAGTGACCTGTGGGTAAATATCAAGCAATCTAACACATGTAAATTGAGTGTGGAAGAGATATTTGAAGAAATAACGGCTGAAATTCCAGATTTGATTTTAAAAATATATATTTACCAAGAGAGGCAATAAGCTTAGCAAACCCCAAACAGGATAAATACAGAGGACCAAATCAAGATTTATTTTAATCAATTTTCTGAAAACCAGTGATAAAGTGCATGTGTTAAAACAGCCAGAGAAAGAAAGTCACATTACATTCAGGGGAACAAAGATAAGATTTTCCACTGATTTCACATCAGAAATAATGTTAAGCCAGAAGACACAGAGGAGCATAGAAAGAAAGAAAATATTACCTTAGAACTCTAATATGCAATAAACATAACCTTTTAAAATGCAGATGAAACAAAAGTTTTTTAGACAAATAAAGTCTAATTACTAGAAAATAATTCTTGCCTGCATTATAATAGCTAATGATTAAAATAAACAGCTAATTATTAGAAAGTAATTATTGCCTACACTACAAGAAATGGAAAAGGAATTTCTTTAGTTTATGAGGAAAAAATACCAGCTCTACACAAAGGAATAAAGATCATTGAAAATCGTAAATATGTGGGTAAAAGTTTTTCAATAAAATTGTTTTCAAAAATAATTGAGTATTTAAAACAAAAGTAATATCAATATATTTGGGATCAATAACATATATAAGTAAAAGTTTTAACAGGACAAGGGGGGAATGGAAGCAGACTGTTATAAGGTCTAACTTTATGCAGCAGTACAATTTTATTTGAAGGTAAACTGTGATAAGGTAAAGATGCATACTGTAAACCCTATAGCAATCATTTAAAAAGTGAGTATAGGGCTTCCCTGGTGGCGCAGTGGTTGAGAGTCCGCCTGCCGATGCGGGGGACACGGGTTCGTGCCCTGGTCCGGGAAGATCCCACATGCGGCGGAGCGGCTGGGCCCGTGAGCCATGGCCGCTGAGCCTGCGTCCGAAGCCTGTGCTCTGCAACGGGAGAGGCCACAACAGTGAGAGGCCCGCGTACCGCAAAAAAAAAAAAAAAGTGAGTATAAAATAAAAGAGAAGATTAAATGACATGCTAAAAATACTCAATTTGAAAGAAGGCAGGAAACCTGAAAAAAATGAACAAAGAAGAGATGGGATTAATAGGAAACAAATAGCAAGATGGTTGATGTAAATAATCCAACAATATCAACAACTGCATTAAATATAAATGGACTAAACACATCAAAAGCAGACATTGTTATACTGGAAGAGGACAAGATACATATAGGTTGTCTAAAAGAAATACACTCTAAATATAAGGACAAAGTTTAAAAATAAAAGAATGAAATAAAATATACCATGCAAATATTAATCAAAATAAGGCTATATTAAGGCTATATTTGAACTTCAGGACAAGGACCATTATCAAAGACAGAGGGACATTTCATAATGATAAAAGGCGAATTCATTATGAAGACATGACAATCCTAAATGTTTATGCACTTAGTAACAAGAGCTTCAAAATATATGAAGTAAAAACTGACAGGATTAAAAGGAGAAATAGACAAACACAATTATAGTTAGAGATTTTAATACTCCTCTCTCAATAATTGATAAAATAAGTAGATAAACAATGGGTAAGGATATAGATTTGAAAACACTATCAACATAGTGTTGATATCAACAGAGGCAGAAGTACACATAGATATTAATATTAGTACACATAGAATATTAATATTAAGTACACATAGAATATTCACTGAGAAACCATATGTTAGGTTGTAAAATGTCTCAATAAGTTAAAAATGAGTATGTTTTTTGATGATAATGTAATTAAATGAGAGAAGTATATCTGTAAAATCTCCAAATATTTAGAAATTAAAGAAGACATTTCTAAGCAACCCATGGGACAAAGAAGAAATTATAAGAGAAGTTAGGAAATCTCTCTAGTTGAATGATGACGAAAGTACAAAATATTAGAATTTGTGGGATTCGGTTAAAGCAGTGCTTAGAGGGAAATTTATAACGCTGATATTATTAAACACAAAGAAAAATTCTAAAATCAACATCTAAGAATTCCACTTGAGATAAAAAAGAAGATTAAATTAAACTCAAAATTAAGTAGAAGGTAGGAAATAATAAAGAGCAGAAATCAATGACACAAAAATTGGGCAAAAATAGAAAAATCAAGTAAGACAAATGCTGTGGGTTTTTTTGTTTTGTTTTGTTTTTTTGGCTGTGTTGGGTCTTGCTGTGCATGGACTTCCTCTAGTTGCAGTGAGCAGTGGCTACTCTTT